ACACACACACACACACACCACGCTCGCAAAGAAGTGCACCCGATTCACTCCGTCAAAATACCGCTCTCCTATTTGAGTGCAACACCAGGCGGTTTTGGGTTTTGAATGGCGAATTGTGGTACAGTGTATGAATTACCCAGGTCCCGCACCCCATCCCAACTTACAAAAGGGCAAAGTTTTTTTCTTTCTTTTTTTCCAAAATTCAGAAACCGAAAATTTTTCTTTGTTCCGAGATCTTTATGACCTTTCTCCAAACAAGTTACGGTTTTGTTTTCTTTCAACGTCGTCATTTATAGTGCGCTTTCCGGAAATTTTTCATCCAACAAAACAGACTTACAAGAAAAGTACTATTTACCTGTCTGCTGACAACAAACACAAACCATTCAACGCGCTCAATGTGAAATGAGAATCAAAACACAACAGGGCACGTTTCAACAATCACTTCAGGTACACAACAGTTAGATTTTCCCAATCAGGCGGGGCCTATTTTCAAATAAAAGGGGCACTGTGTTTTTGAAAGTTCAACACGCGGTTGATAAAATAAATATCGGCCCACCTGTTTTAAAATTTGTCTTTTGCTTTAAACAGCAGACAGTTGACATTGTAACCCGACACCCCGAAGCCTTTGTCAACCCGCCCTATCCGCAAAGATTTGTCGAGTTAGCGTTTCACTTAAGTTCTATGACGTCACATTCCCCTCCGTGAATCACAGTCCAAACATCTCATTCGGACACGAGGGCCGATCATCATTTCCGACCGTACGTCTCTGTTTAGGAATTCTCCTGGCTCGACAGAGTTCATCATTACCTCCCTGTCTTTATTGATTACTTTTTCCTGAGCTGTGAAGAGCGAACAGCGCTGCCTGGAGAATTTTCGAAACTCCGCCTGAAAGCGACTCGGTGCTTCACTGCATACACACATTGCCAGTCAGTTTCAAGATGGCGGACTAGGGAAGAGTTCACGCATGATGCTGGCGAATTTTTATTTCTTTTCTCCCTGTTTCTTAAGTCAGATGTGAGATACAAGGCGCGAATTGGGTCAATGAAGAGTAGAATTCCATGCAGGCCAAGAAACGCTACCTACTCCTCGTCTTGTGCGGAGTTAGCGTGATATTGTGTTACATTCTCATACCCCTGTTAGCGACGTACCGGGAAGATGGGAGCCAGTCATGGCATAGTGACGATTTGGAGTTCGGCGGAAAAAGCCGGCGGTACCTGGACGCAGAAGACTCCCACGATGACACGAACTTGCAGACGTTTTCACGTTTCCAGAGGGCGACTAAAACGACGGGATTTCGACGGAGGGAGTGTAGAATGGAGACGTGTTTTGACTTCGGCAGGTGCTCGAAGGGATTTAAGATTTACGTTTACCCGACGACCGAGCAAGTCTCGGTCCATTATGTCAAAATTCTGAACTCCTTACGAGACTCTAGATACTACACCACCGATCCAGATGAGGCCTGTATATTCTTTCTAGCTATAGATACAACGGATAGGGATACACTTAGTCCAAGTTATGTCAAAAATATTCCCGATAAAATCGCAAAACTTTCCCATTGGAACGAAGGCCGAAATCATGTTATTTTTAATTTGTACTCGGGCACTTGGCCCGACTATGTACAGGATCAAGACTTTGATATAGGTTACGCCATTTTAGCTAAAGCCAGTATATCAGTGCAGATATTTAGGCCTGGGTTTGATATTTCATTTCCGTTATTCCACAAGGAGTTGGCAGCAAAGGGGGTCGAGAAGGGCACCTTGGGGTCCCTCGCAGTCCCCCCCAATACACAATATACCTTAGCTTTTAAAGGCAAGCGTTACTTGACGGGTATCGGATCTGAGTCTCGTAACTCTCTGTATCATCTTCACAATGGAAAAGACATGATCTTACTTACGACGTGCAAACACGGAAAAGGTTGGAAAGTATTACAGGATGAAAGGTGCCCACATGACAACGAAATTTACGACAAGTAAGTGCGAGATTTCTTTTTAGAAAAAAAATAGCCTTTGAATATGTTCATAATATGTTGTATTTCAGGTTTACAAAGAGAAGACGGTGAAAATCATGCCTTCTTCATTGTCAGTACATATTGTATGTGTGTTTGTTTATGTATGATTGTTTCTGTCATTACCAATGATGTACTAGTACTATGTAACATATACTTCATAAACTCTCTCTCTCTCTCTCTCTCTCTCTCTCTCTCTCTCTCTCTCTCGTACATGTGTTGTTTGTTTTACCCTTACACGAAGGGAGAGAGAATGAGGGACAGAGATGGAAAGAGAGAGAAGTAAGGAAAGAATTTCTATACCTACCATACTTCTGTCAAGATCCAGCTGTATATTTTCAAGAAATTGACACCAGAAACAAGAGAGTACAACTCTTACGCAAGAATAGATCAAATATAAACAACAGCAGGTTTTTGGAGTGTTTTATTTGCTCCCTTGAGCTAAGGCTTATTTCCCAAAATTCTCCTCATTTTAAGACAAAATGTGATCCTATTTCTCCACAGTGGTATTCAGTATGAAGAGTGAGTGCCAATGTATAATGCTAGAGGTGTTATGGAAGTCCACAGCATGTAGTCAAGTGTAGTTAGAACCACTTGTTTACTGGGCAACATATTTTAAAGGAGACATGATGTAGTGAGCACTTTCAACTTCCCAGGTGTGGGTTGAATGGGTATGGAATTGGTTGAAATTTATAATCTGCGAAAAAGTTTTTAACATTGAGCCTTTATTGGGATACTTTTTCACAGGCTGCCAAATTCATAAACCAAAGGTATTATGAATTAATTAGTTTTTTACTTATTTATGAAAAATATTCATATGGAAATGGATCAGTGGGATGTTATGCCTTGTGAAGAAAAGCAGCCACACCTACTTCAACTCTTAACCCAACAACCCCCCCCCCCCCCCCCCCCCCCCCCCCCCCCCCCCCCCCCCCACCCCCCCACTCTTCACAAACATTTTCCTTACCCTTCGGCCCTGATAAGGCCGATGTTTGAGACAGCACGTTCGACCTACTTTTATAACATCGGTTAAAAGTAGTCAGTGTCACTTATCATTAGATATATATTATACATGTACATGTACATCCCACAGCATAAGAACCATGGCGGACTCGAACAAGTCCACCGCTGGCATTCATTACGATCAGAGTACCTCTGAGGCGTACTCTTTGTACAGACCTCTCTGGACAGACACCATAGTAGGACGGGTNCCCCCCACCACCACCACCACCACCACACTGCTGAATTTAAGCAAAGTATAATAGCACAGTGGCAGGTTTTAACATGTCAGAATCCGGTCCAAGTTTCTATCCTGTCTGAACACGTCATGGGGTCTTTTTCAGCCCTGCTAACTGCATGGTTCCACTGCACACCCAAGATGAAGTGAATTGATTAAACACTGGTAACCCACTTTCTTTGTGATTAGGTAAACACGTTCATCTAAACTAAAGAAACTCGTCAGGAATCAGTGGAGTGTGAGAGAGGAGAAAAGTTCTGATAATTTTTTTGCTATTGTTTGTATTTGATTACTTAATCTTAGTGTGTAATTGGAAAATTGGATGTGGGGTTTTGACTCGGTGTGAAAGGACAGGTATGAAGGAAGAGGACCTGATCTTTTCCTTGTTCATAAACTTTATTGTGTATTGAGTAATTAGAGGAACTTTTTTTTTCTTTTGACCTTTCATGAATAAAAGAAATTTAAGTGTATGATATTCCAAATGTTGAAATGGAACCTTTGAAACAAAATTGAAAGTTTTTTATCAGGTTTTTTCCCTTCATTCAAGATCATTAATAAGAAAAAGATAATAAAAAATTGACTATAAGGAACTATTTGATGTGTCACTGATATTTCTGTGAAGTCGAAAATTCAGAAATGAAAAAAGGAAATTCAGAAATCAAATGAGTGGGAGGTAAGAAAGTGAACGGTGGCCTTTTAAAAAGCCCACTTCATGCCAGGGCCTGCCTATTCCTTATCAAACATTTTATCAAAGTCTCACTTTTGATTTGTTATAGTGAATTACACCTGTTAATCGCACTACGGAACACAGACCCTATATTTACACAATCTGAGTTGGGGACTGATTAACCTGGCTGTTCTGATAACAGAGGTAGGGTTGAGGCCCTTTCTCTTTACTTTCAACTGAAATGCTTAAAGTTTAAGACAGCGGAGACATTTATTGCTCCTTCCTCCCCCTCCCTCTTCTCCTCCCCCATAAAATAATAAATCCTTCCTTCTGTAATTTCAAGATTTATGTGGCTTTGTTATTAAGAGAGAGAAAGACCCTGGGAGGGGGGGGGGTTGAGATAGTGAGAGAAAAAAAAGATTTGTAGGAAAAGGGGGACGCAAACGTGTCCTCAGAAAAAGAGGAAGACAAAGTGTGAAGGAAAAAAAAAATTGGCTTAAAATTGTTTCATACTTCATACAAAATTGACACTGAGCATGTTTTTTGTTTAGGAATCAAAGACAAAAAAAAAAAATGAAATAAAAATTCAGTACCAGCATCAAGTGTCCGAGTTGCATGCTGCAGTTATAATGTATCAGTACCTGTCCCTGTATTATACCAGTTTGTAGGGGCAGAATAAGAGGTCAGATCTTCAGTATTAAATATCAGTAGTGTTCCATACTTTGAGTAACATTAGAAGCAAGTGGAGTCAGAAAAAAAAGACACACAACTGGTGATGAGCCTTGAGGGCTTGTGTTTGCACTTGGATACAATTTAGGCCAATTTTGGTTGTGATTTCATCCATTGAGCCCTCCCCTCAATCAGTATAAACCTGGTTGAGATTATTTATAAGACGTCATGTCTTACTTATACTGGGGTGGTGCTAGCAATTTTTTTTTTTTTTCGTTTAGCCAAATTACTACTTTTTCACTGCTTTTTTATCCAAATGGTTTAAATTTGACTCAAGTAAGTCAAATCAACCCTATTTTGTTTAGTCAGTTTTAGCATTTGGCTAAATTGGGGAGTGTTAGCGCTACCCAGTATAAAATTGTAGTGGAGTTTTTGGTACTTACGCTATGCTATGCAGGACAAATATATGGGTTTTTTTGGTGCTATTCATTTTGCCTGTGATTGTATATGGAAATATCTGAATATACTGGAATACATTCCAACAAATGTATTGAAAAAGATTTTTGCAACTATCTGACTGACTAGTGCAAAATACTACGCTTTGATATCATTACTAGTAAGTTGTTCACCAGCAGGAGTAATGCAGAAAAAATGTGATTATTGTAAATATTTAATAACCATCATTGACTTTTTATTGCTCTGTCTTTTGAAACGTTTAAAACATTTAGGCATCAGTGATGACAATTTTCTTTATCCCATATGGAAAAAGTGATGTGGAACAAAAACTCTTAATCAGTAAGAAATTGTTTATCACAAATTTCATCAATTGCTACATAGCAAGCAGTTGGCACAGAAAAGGTGCATGTTTGCAAAGGGATACAATCAGGATACTTGTATGTGAATTTGCAGGTTAAGATTGCATAGATGCTCTATGTGGCTAAATGTAACCTGTAAAAAAAGGCAGCAAAGGATGCTTACGCAGCTCATAAGCACTTGCCCTCATTTCAGGTTAAGAACCAGAAAAGCTTTAAAAATTCAGGTCGCATTTGACTTCCCTACCAAGACAAGGAGTCATGCATCGCAATAAAAAAATTAAAAAGACCACTGGTGTTGCCTGCCGTCAAAAAACGAGATACTGTACATAAATAATGACCAAGTTAGTTCCACTTCACTAAGCTTTCTTACAAGAGTCTGTGTTAACGAGGACTTCTAATTCTCTCTCTCTCTCTCTTTTTTTTTTCTTTCAACAAGATTTTATGCACTGGGAGGTGTTTGAACAAGTCTTGAGGTCATATCTCAGAACTTTTGTCTTGGTCTGACATACCAGACATGTTTGTCTGCATACTGTGGCAAATTTCATTTTTACAGAAGGAAGAATCTTTTAAATTAATGGTATCTTCCATTTTTTCTTTTCAGTTTGTAGAATAAAAGAATTATGTGTCATTTAAAAAACAAACATGAAAGAATGAAACTGGGAAAAGATAAAGTGCTCATCATATGATTCATTAAATTATTATTTTAAATGTCTTTTTGACAACTTACACACACACACACACACACACAAACAAAAAAAAAAAAAAAACAGCATTTATGGTTGATACCAAGTTATCATTGATAATTTAGGGGTATTTCTTCTTTTAATCAAATACTGTACATAACAGATTAGCTCCTAAATTAGATAGGAAATGAAACTATTCTGCCAAACAACTAGTATTTTCACTCTCACAAATATGAATTATTTAAACTATTTTCTGAATTAATTGATTGTTAGGCAATCAGTAAGGTATTATTTTTTGGGGGGGAGGGGGGCTATGTCCCTGACAATCTTTCCATGTTGAGAGTGAATATTTTGATAAACCCATTGTTTAGCATCTTTTTATTTTCGGAAGAAAACCCAACATACTTGTGACATCAAACAAATAATTTTATACAGATGAAAAAAAGTCTTAATTTGTTGTTTGTAATAAAAATCCAAGAAAAAGCCCAGAAGATGCAGAGAGAGACGGTAGCTATTGTAGTAAGTCCAGAGGTTGATCATGGGATACTCGGCTATCTCATTAATTACTTAACTCTAAGCTCGCCTGGAACACTGCCTACTTCAGTTTGTGTGCAGGGATAATCCCCCTCTTTTATCTTTTTATCGACAAAAGCTTGCTGAAATGAACCGTTGGACTGCAGGAGTTCTACGTGTGGGAAGCGTGTTATTGAGTACAGGATGATATTTGAAGGGGGAGGCTGAATTAAATCTTGAATTGTTGACTTTAGGCATTCTTATTGTTACCACATCCCATTGAGTCATGTGTAAAGTTAAGACAGGTTTTGATTTATTTTATTTGTGCTTCATAAATTGGTTTTATTTAACCATCTCTAATTTTTGTGGTAGATACTGTT